CCGTGGCGATGGAGTTCAGTCTGGATTACCAGCGGGCGGCCGACGCCACCGGCCTGCTGCCCATCCTCGACATATCGGCGCCCACCAACGTCACCAAGCAGGTGTGTGTGTTAAAGGTCTCCTATCATACAAAAGTCTCTTTCTGATGTCTTCTCTACATCACCATGTGTCCCCGGTGTGTCAGGAGACTCTCAAAGTGATGTCTTCTCTACATCACCATGTGTCCCCGGTGTGTCAGGAGACTCACAAAGTGATGTCTTCTCTACATCACCATGTGTCCCCGGTGTGTCAGGAGACTCACTAAGTGATGTCTTCTCTACATCACCATGTGTCCCCGGTGTGTCAGGAGACTCACAAAGTGATGTCTTCTCTACATCACCATGTGTCCCCGGTGTGTCAGGAGACTCTCTAAGTGATGTCTTCTCTACATCACCATGTGTCCCCGGTGTGTCCCCGGTGTGTCAGGAGACTCACAAAGTGATGTCTTCTCTACATCACCATGTGTCCCCGGTGTGTCAGGAGACTCACAAAGTGATGTCTTCTCTACATCACCATGTGTCCCCGGTGTGTCAGGAGACTCACTAAGTGATGTCTTCTCTACATCACCATGTGTCCCCGGTGTGTCAGGAGACTCACAAAGTGATGTCTTCTCTACATCACCATGTGTCCCCGGTGTGTCAGGAGACTCTCTAAGTGATGTCTTCTCTACATCACCATGTGTCCCCGGTGTGTCCCCGGTGTGTCAGGAGACTCACAAAGTGATGTCTTCTCTACATCACCATGTGTCCCCGGTGTGTCAGGAGACTCACATAGTGATGTCTTCTCTACATCACCATGTGTCCCCGGTGTGTCAGGAGACTCACTAAGTGATGTCTTCTCTACATCACCATGTGTCCCCGGTGTGTCAGGAGACTCACATAGTGATGTCTTCTCTACATCACTATGTGTCCCCGGTGTGTCAGGAGACTCACAAAGTGATGTCTTCTCTACATCACCATGTGTCCCCGGTGTGTCAGGAGACTCACTAAGTGATGTCTTCTCTACATCACCATGTGTCCCCGGTGTGTCAGGAGACTCACAAAGTGATGTCTTCTCTACATCAGTGGTTCCCAAACGGTGTGCCGTGAGGCAAGTCCGGGTGTGCCGTGGGATTTTGTGACAACCATACGTTATTATTGCAATATACAACTACACAAAAATAATTATTTTTACTATATCAGTACTTTGTATGCACTCATTTCATAATACAGAGGCAAACTCTATACCTAAAAACAATTATTTAAAAAAAAATCCTCACAGAACCCCATATTTCGCTGTTAACGCAGTTGCAGGTGGGAATTATAAGACCGTGACACATCGAAGGCTGAAGGACAACACTAGAACTGTGTAACTTTTTTTCAATAAAATATTAAAGTCTTCCAGTCCGTGACTTTTCCTGAAAGTGTGTTATGTAGCACCCTATGTTGTTAAAAATTGTCAATATGAAGTCAGATTGAAGAAATCCCCCCAAAAATTGCCATTTTTTTTTTGCCATTGCTATTTCCGCCCAGCGGGTCATATTGACCCCACCCCTTTTCATATAAACATGACGTGTTGCTATAGCAACGCCTTTTGTCTACTGCGGTTCCTTATAGATTGAGAGATAGATAGAGAGAGAGAGAGATAGATGGATAGATATATTGATAGATAGTTATAGATAGATAGAGAGAGAGAGATAGAGACAGTCTGTAGTGAAGGAGTGCGCTCCCGCTCACGGGAGACTGCTCGCGCTGCGCTCCGCAGCAAACAGCTGTGGGGCGAGTTGAAAGTACGTTATGCTGGCCGCGGTGGGCCATTTATAATGTCGAGCCCTGAGAGTCCACAGATTATATTGGTATACATTTCATCCCTGTGCTTTGATGAAGCCTAATTTGATAAAGTTTCAAATTAATTTCTGAAATATTTCGTTAATAAATATTTCATGAGTAATATAGTTGTCTTTGTCACATTTTATTTGGCATTAGTAAATAATTATGCACATTTACAGATATTTTACATGATATGAGTGATAACACGTGTTATAAGGGCTATTTCGCACAATAGGTGTGCCTTGAGATTTTTACTTGTCCTTTGGTGTGCCTTGGGCACAACAAGTTTGGGAACCACTGCTCTACATCACCATGTGTCCCCGGTGTGTCAGGAGACTCACTAAGTGATGTCTTCTCTACATCACCATGTGTCCCCGGTGTGTGAGGAGACTCACTAAGTGATGTCTTCTCTACATCACCATGTGTCCCCGGTGTGTCAGGAGACTCACTAAGTGATGTCTTCTCTACATCACCATGTGTCCCCGGTGTGTCAGGAGACTCACTAAGTGATGTCTTCTCTACATCACCATGTGTCCCCGGTGTGTCAGGAGACTCACTAAGTGATGTCTTCTCTACATCACCATGTGTCCCCGGTGTGTCAGGAGACTCACAAAGTGATGTCTTCTCTACATCACCATGTGTCCCCGGTGTGTCAGGAGACTCACATAGTGATGTCTTCTCTACATCACCATGTGTCCCCGGTGTGTCAGGAGACTCACATAGTGATGTCTTCTCTACATCACCATGTGTCCCCGGTGTGTCAGGAGACTCACATAGTGATGTCTTCTCTACATCACCATGTGTCCCCGGTGTGTCAGGAGACTCACATAGTGATGTCTTCTCTACATCACCATGTGTCCCCGGTGTGTCAGGAGACTCACTAAGTGATGTCTTCTCTACATCACCATGTGTCCCCGGTGTGTCAGGAGACTCTCAAAGTGATGTCTTCTCTACATCACCATGTGTCCCCGGTGTGTCAGGAGACTCACTAAGTGATGTCTTCTCTACATCACCATGTGTCCCCGGTGTGTCAGGAGACTCACAAAGTGATGTCTTCTCTACATCACCATGTGTCCCCGGTGTGTCAGGAGACTCACAAAGTGATGTCTTCTCTACATCACCATGTGTCCCCGGTGTGTCAGGAGACTCACTAAGTGATGTCTTCTCTACATCACCATGTGTCCCCGGTGTGTCAGGAGACTCACATAGTGATGTCTTCTCTACATCACCGTGTGTCCCCGGTGTGTGAGGAGACTCTCATAGTGATGTCTTCTCTACATCACCGTGTGTCCCCGGTGTGTCAGGAGACTCACATAGTGATGTCTTCTCTACATCACCATGTGTCCCCGGTGTGTCAGGAGACTCACTAAGTGATGTCTTCTCTACATCACCATGTGTCCCCGGTGTGTCAGGAGACTCTCAAAGTGATGTCTTCTCTACATCACCATGTGTCCCCGGTGTGTCAGGAGACTCACTAAGTGATGTCTTCTCTACATCACCATGTGTCCCCGGTGTGTCAGGAGACTCACAAAGTGATGTCTTCTCTACATCACCATGTGTCCCCGGTGTGTCAGGAGACTCACAAAGTGATGTCTTCTCTACATCACCATGTGTCCCCGGTGTGTCAGGAGACTCACAAAGTGATGTCTTCTCTACATCACCATGTGTCCCCGGTGTGTCAGGAGACTCACAAAGTGATGTCTTCTCTACATCACCGTGTGTCCCCGGTGTGTCAGGAGACTCACATAGTGATGTCTTCTCTACATCACCGTGTGTCCCCGGTGTGTCAGGAGACTCACAAAGTGATGTCTTCTCTACATCACATGTGTCCCCGGTGTGTCAGGAGACTCACTAAGTGATGTCTTCTCTACATCACCATGTGTCCCCGGTGTGTCAGGAGACTCACAAAGTGATGTCTTCTCTACATCACCATGTGTCCCCGGTGTGTCAGGAGACTCACAAAGTGATGTCTTCTCTACATCACCATGTGTCCCCGGTGTGTCAGGAGACTCACAAAGTGATGTCTTCTCTACATCACCATGTGTCCCCGGTGTGTCAGGAGACTCACAAAGTGATGTCTTCTCTACATCACCATGTGTCCCCGGTGTGTCAGGAGACTCACAAAGTGATGTCTTCTCTACATCACCATGTGTCCCCGGTGTGTCCCCGGTGTGTCCCCGGTGTGTCAGGAGACTCACATAGAAACAATGAGACGTGTTCTGGTAGTAATATCGTCTGTGTTTACATTAGCATGCTAACACTCAGAGCTAACCTGTACTGGAGAGAGTATGTGTGAAGAAGCATGAAATCAAAAGGAACTCACCTTGTGGTAAACCTGAGAGAGAGAAAGAGTTTGAGCTCCATACTGTTTCAGAGAGAATCCTTGATGTGGTTTGGAACATGATATGGAGTTTCATCACGGCAGCATTTAGCTGAGTTTCTGCTGGGAGAGTTCTCCTGATGAGATCTACTCTCTCTCTGAAGCTACTGACCCAGAGTCAGCTCCTTAGTAACAGCTGGAAGAAAGGGGGGGGGGGGGGGGGGGGGGGCTACAAGGATCTGTTTGGGGTTTGGAGCAGGACACTTCAGAGACATGTTTTTATATATCTGAGACCTGTGATATCTGCCTAAACATTGTATAATAGGAGACCTTTAATATTGAGGATGCTTTAGGAGTAGTTTGATCAGAGTTTAATATTTCATTACATTTGGCTTCATTACAGGCTCACATCCTGTTGGACTGTGGAGACGACAACATCTGTAAACCTGACCTGAGGCTGTCCGTGAAGAGGTGGGAACTCATTATTATCAAATATAACCGTGTTATCAGGTGAGACTTTGATTAGAACAAATGCTCTGGTGAACAGGAAGGTCAATGGTAACAGGAAGGTCAATGGTAACAGGAAGGTAAATGGTAACCGGAAGGTTAATGGTAACAGGAAGGTTAATGGTAACAGGAAGGTAAATGGTAACAGGAAGGTCAATGGTAACAGGAAGGTCAATGGTAACAGGAAGGTCAATGGTAACAGGAAGGTAAATGGTAACAGGAAGGTAAATGGTAACAGGAAGGTCAATGGTAACAGGAAGGTCAATGGTAACAGGAAGGTCAATGGTAACAGGAAGGTAAATGGTAACAGGAAGGTCAATGGTAACAGGAAGGTCAATGGTAACAGGAAGGTCAATGGTAACAGGAAGGTTAATGGTAACCGGAAGGTAAATGGTAACAGGAAGGTTAATGGTAACAGGAAGGTCAATGGTAACAGGAAGGTCAATGGTAACAGGAAGGTTAATGGTAACAGGAAGGTTAATGGTAACAGGAAGGTAAATGGTAACAGGAAGGTTAATGGTAACAGGAAGGTAAATGGTAAGCTGGAAGGTCGATGGTAACAGGAAGGTTAATGGTAACAGGAAGGTAAATGGTAAGCTGGAAGGTCGATGGTAACAGGAAGGTTAATGGTAACAGGAAGGTAAATGGTAAGCTGGAAGGTCGATGGTAACAGGAAGGTTAATGGTAACAGGAAGGTCAATGGTAACAGGAAGGTAAATCTGAATGAACGTTGTCTCTCCTCTTCTGTCCTCAGCGACCGGGATCAGATCTACATCGGAGACGATAACGCTCTGACTCTGGAGATCAGCGCTGAGAATCAGGGGGAGGGGGCGTACGAGGCCGAGCTGCACGTCTACCCCCCCCCCGCAGGCCGACTTCACCGGGGTGGTCCGCAGCCAGGTAACCTCACCTGGTCGTAACACACCTGTAGTCTCTATATCAGCCAGGTAACCACACCTGTAGTCTCTATAGCAGCCAGGTAACCTCACCTGGTGGTAACACACCTGTAGTCTCTATATCAGCCAGGTAACCCCACCTGGTGGTAACACACCTGTAGTCTCTATATCAGCCAGGTAACCTCACCTGGTAGTAACACACCTGTAGTCTCTATAGCAGCCAGGTAACCTCACCTGGTAGTAACACACCTGTAGTCTCTATAGCAGCCAAGTAACCTCACCTGGTGGTAACACACCTGTAGTCTCTATAGCAGCCAGGTAACCTCACCTGGTAGTAACACACCTGTAGTCTCTATAGCAGCCAGGTAACCTCACCTGGTGGTAATACACCTGTAGTCTCTATATCAGCCAGGTAACCCCACCTGGTGGTAACACACCTGTAGTCTCTATAGCAGCCAGGTAACCTCACCTGGTAGTAACACACCTGTAGTCTCTATAGCAGCCAGGTAACCTCACCTGGTGGCAACACACCTGTAGTCTCTATAGCAGCCAGGTAACCTCACCTGGTAGTAACACACCTGTAGTCTCTATATCAGCCAGGTAACCTCACCTGGTGGTAACACACCTGTAGTCTCTATATCAGCCAGGTAACCTCACCTGATGGTAACACACCTGTAGTCTCTATAGCAGCCAGGTAACCTCACCTTGTGGTAATACACCTGTAGTCTCTATAGCAGCCAGGTAACCTCACCTGGTGGCAACACACCTGTAGTCTCTATAGCAGCCAGGTAACCTCACCTGGTGGCAATACACCTGTAGTCTCTATAGCAGCCAGGTAACCTCACCTGGTGGTAACACACCTGTAGTCTCTATAGCAGCCAGGTAACCTCACCTGGTGGTAACACACCTGTAGTCTCTATAGCAGCCAGGTAACCTCACCTGGTGGTAACACACCTGTAGTCTCTATAGCAGCCAGGTAACCTCACCTGGTGGTAACACACCTGTAGTCTCTATAGCAGCCAGGTAACCTCACCTGGTGGTAACACACCTGTAGTCTCTATAGCAGCCAGGTAACCTCACCTGGTGGTAACACACCTGTAGTCTCTATTGCAGCCAGGTAACCTCACCTGGTGGTAACACACCTGTAGTCTTTATAAAGTCCTCCTTCAGGTAGCCTCACATTGTTTATTGCAACACACCTGTAATAACCGTTATCACCCTAACCCTTTACTCACCTGGTATTAAAGTGTGATGCTGACTGTTTATTTTAAATGCAGACCCTGAGCCGGCTGTCCTGCGCCTACAAGAAGGAGAACCAGACCAAGATGGTGGTGTGTGACCTTGGAAACCCCATGAAGGGAGGAACCAAGGTCAGTGTTTATGTATTATTTGTCTTCTCTTTATGCAATGTACTCTGATTGGTCCTCTCTGTCTTCTCCTGCTCTCTGATTGGTCCTCTCTGTCTCTTCCTGCTCTCTGATTGGCCAGGTGCTGGCAGAGCTGCGTTTCAGTGTCCACCAGCTGTCGGAGGAGGACACCTACGTGAAGTTTGACGTGCAGATGGTCAGGTACAGTCTGTTACCTCATGTTACAGCCAATCACACTCCTCCTTCTCCTCACCACCAAACCACAGAAGGAGCAGACACTGAACCTGACTAAGACAGAAACAAAAAATGTCTCTTTACGTCTTCGAATTCTCTGCCTTCCTTTGTGCATTAACTTCAGTGTGTGAGTGAGAGAGAGCAGCGTGTAAACAGAGCTGGTTTTATTCCAACATTCATTACCATAAGAAAAGGTCTGAGTGAACGAGTGAGAGGAGGTCTGAGTGTGTGAGAGGAGGTCTGAGTGTGTGAGAGGAGGTCTGAGTGAACGTGTGTGAGGAGGTCTGAGTGAACGTGTGAGAGGAGGTCTGAGTGTGTGAGAGGAGGTCTGAGTGAACGTGTGGAGGTCTGAGTGAACGTGTGAGAGGAGGTCTGAGTGTGTGAGAGGAGGTCTGAGTGAACGTGTGTGAGGAGGTCTGAGTGAACGTGTGAGAGGAGGTCTGAGTGTGTGAGAGGAGGTCTGAGTGAACGTGTGAGAGGAGGTCTGAGTGAACGTGTGAGAGGAGGTCTGAGTGTGTGAGAGGAGGTCTGAGTGAACGTGTGAGAGGAGGTCTGAGTGTGTGAGAGGAGGTCTGAGTGAACGTGTGAGAGGAGGTCTGAGTGTGTGTGAGAGGAGGTCTGAGTGTGTGTGAGGAGGTCTGAGTGTGTGAGAGGAGGTCTGAGTGTGTGTGAGAGGAGGTCTGAGTGTGTGTGAGGAGGTCTGAGTGAACGTGTGAGAGGAGGTCTGAGTGAACGTGTGAGAGGAGGTCTGAGTGAACGTGTGTGAGGAGGTCTGAGTGAACGTGTGAGAGGAGGTCTGAGTGTGTGTGAGAGGAGGTCTGAGTGTGTGTGAGGAGGTCTGAGTGAACGTGTGAGAGGAGGTCTGAGTGTGTGAGAGGAGGTCTGAGTGAACGAGTGAGAGGAGGTCTGAGTGAACGAGTGAGAGGAGGTCTGAGTGTGTGTGAGGAGGTCTGAGTGAACGTGTGAGAGGAGGTCTGAGTGTGTGTGAGGAGGTCTGAGTGAACGTGTGAGAGGAGGTCTGAGTGTGTGAGAGGAGGTCTGAGTGAACGTGTGAGAGGAGGTCTGAGTGAACGTGTGAGAGGAGGTCTGAGTGTGTGTGAGGGAGGTCTGAGTGTGTGAGAGGAGGTCTGAGTGAACGTGTGAGAGGAGGTCTGAGTGTGTGTGAGGAGGTCTGAGTGAACGTGTGAGAGGAGGTCTGAGTGAACGTGTGAGAGGAGGTCTGAGTGAACGTGTGAGAGGGAGGTCTGAGTGTGTGTGAGGAGGTCTGAGTGTGTGAGAGGAGGTCTGAGTGAACGTGTGAGAGGAGGTCTGAGTGTGTGTGAGGAGGTCTGAGTGAACGTGTGAGAGGAGGTCTGAGTGAACGTGTGAGAGGAGGTCTGAGTGAACGTGTGAGAGGAGGTCTGAGTGAACGAGTGAGGAGGTCTGAGTGAACGTGTGAGAGGAGGTCTGAGTGAACGTGTGAGAGGAGGTCTGAGTGTGTGTGAGGAGGTCTGAGTGTGTGAGAGGAGGTCTGAGTGAACGTGTGAGAGGAGGTCTGAGTGTGTGTGAGGAGGTCTGAGTGAACGTGTGAGAGGAGGTCTGAGTGAACGTGTGTGAGGAGGTCTGAGTGAACGAGTGAGGAGGTCTGAGTGTGTGAGAGGAGGTCTGAGTGAACGTGTGAGAGGAGGTCTGAGTGAACGTGTGAGAGGAGGTCTGAGTGAACGTGTGAGAGAGGTCTGAGTGTGTGAGAGGAGGGTCTGAGTGAACGTGTGAGAGGAGGTCTGAGTGTGTGAGAGGAGGTCTGAGTGAACGAGTGAGAGGAGGTCTGAGTGAACGTGTGTGAGGAGGTCTGAGTGAACGAGTGAGGAGGTCTGAGTGTGTGAGAGGAGGTCTGAGTGTGTGTGAGGAGGTCTGAGTGAACGTGTGAGAGGAGGTCTGAGTGTGTGTGAGGAGGTCTGAGTGAACGTGTGTGAGGAGGTCTGAGTGAACGTGTGAGAGGAGGTCTGAGTGAACGTGGTGTGTAGGAGGTCTGAGTGAACGTGTGAGAGGAGGTCTGAGTGAACGTGTGAGAGGAGGTCTGAGTGAACGAGTGAGAGGAGGTCTGAGTGTGGTGAGGAGGGTCTGAGTGAACGTGTGAGAAGGAGGTCTGAGTGAACGTGTGTGAGGAGGTCTGAGTGAACGAGTGAGAGGAGGTCTGAGTGAACGTGTGTGAGGAGGTCTGAGTGAACGTGTGAGAGGAGGTCTGAGTGAACGAGTGAGAGAGGTCTGAGTGAACGTGTGAGAGGAGGTCTGAGTGAACGTGTGTGAGGATGGTATGAGAGGAAAGGGGGAGAGGAGGTCGAGTGAACGTGTGAGAGGAGGTCTGAGTGAACGTGTGAGAGGAGGTCTGAGTGAACGTGTGAGAGGAGGTCTGAGTGAACGTGTGAGAGGAGGTCTGAGTGAACGTGTGAGAGGAGGTCTGAGTGAACGTGTGAGAGGAGGTCCTGAGTGGAACGTAGTGAGAGGAGGGTCTGAGTGAACGTGTGTGAGGAGGTCTGAGTGAACGTGTGAGAGGAGGTCTGAGTGAACGTTGTGAGAGGAGGTCTGAGTGACGTGAAGGAGGAGTCTGAGTGTGTTGAGGAGGTCTGAGTGACGTGTGAGGGAGGAGGTCTGAGTGAACGTGTGGAGAGAGGTCTGAGTGAACGTGTGAGAGGAGGTCTGAGTGACTAGTGAGAGGAGGTCTGAGTGAGGTGTGAGGGAGGTCTGAGTGAACGTGTGAGAGGAGGTCTGAGTGAACGTGGGAGAGGAGGTCTGAGTGAACGTGTGTAGAGGAGGTCTGAGTGAACGTGTGTGGAGAGGTCCTGAGTGAACGTTGAGAGAGAGGTCTGAGTGAACGAGTGAGAGGAGGTCTGAGTGTGTGTGAGGAGGTCCTGAGTGAACGTGTGAGAGGAGGTCTGAGTGAACGTGTGAGAGGAGGTCTGAGTGAACGTGTGAGAGGAGGTCTGAGTGAACGTGTGTGAGGAGGTCTGAGTGAACGTGTGTGAGGAGGTCTGAGTGAACGTGTGAGAGGAGGTCTGAGTGAACGAGTGAGAGGAGGTCTGAGTGTGTGTGAGGAGGTCTGAGTGAACGTGTGAGAGGAGGTCTGAGTGAACGTGTGAGAGGAGGTCTGAGTGAACGTGTGAGAGGAGGTCTGAGTGAACGTGTGAGAGGAGGTCTGAGTGAACGTGTGTGAGGAGGTCTGAGTGAACGTGTGAGAGGAGGTCTGAGTGAACGAGTGAGAGGAGGTCTGAGTGAACGTGTGTGAGGAGGTCTGAGTGAACGAGTGAGAGGAGGTCTGAGTGAACGAGTGAGAGGAGGTCTGAGTGAACGAGTGAGAGGAGGTCTGAGTGAACGTGTGTGAGGAGGTCTGAGTGAACGAGTGAGAGGAGGTCTGAGTGAACGAGTGAGAGGGAGGTCTGAGTGAACGTGTGTGAGGAGGTCTGAGTGAACGAGTGAGAGGAGGTCTGAGTGAACGAGTGAGAGGAGGTCTGAGTGTGTGTGAGGAGGTCTGAGTGTGTGTGAGGAGGTCTGAGTGTGTGTGAGGAGGTCTGAGTGAACGAGTGAGAGGAGGTCTGAGTGAACGAGTGAGAGGAGGTCTGAGTGTGTGTGAGGAGGTCTGAGTGTGTGAGAGGAGGTCTGAGTGTGTGTGAGGAGGTCTGAGTGTGTGAGAGGAGGTCTGAGTGTGTGTGAGGAGGTCTGAGTGTGTGAGAGGAGGTCTGAGTGTGTGTGAGGAGGTCTGAGTGTGTGTGAGGAGGTCTGAGTGTGTGTGAGGAGGTCTGAGTGTGTGTGAGGAGGTCTGAGTGTGTGTGAGGAGGTCTGAGTGTGTGAGAGGAGGTCTGAGTGTGTGTGAGGAGGTCTGAGTGTGTGTGAGGAATATGAATGGCTTCACACAGCTCAGTTTCCTGCAGCTCACTAGATTTGATTAAACTCACCTTTATTTTCATTGTGGATTATTTAGAAAGTTTGGGCGTAAATGCATCTCACCACGTGGCGTCTTCAGATAAATACATGCACTTTTTCATTATTTGAAATTAGTTGTTTTTCTCTGGGAAACTTTGCTTGAACATAATTAACAACTTTTTTGAAGATGATCTTTTATTTTTGTATTTATATATATTATTATGATGTTCTTCTCCAGTTACTACAGCGACACCAACTGTGATTTGTTAAAGAATATTATTATTTAATACAATTCTTTATTAATTATATTTGTTATTTATAATTGTATTTTATTTTATCAATAATTTATTTTATTAATTTAATCATCTAAAGTATTATTTATTATTATTCAATATCATTCAAATGTCTCTTCTTCATCACCATGTGTCCCCTCTTCTTCATGTCTCTTCTTCATCACCATGTGTCCCCTCTTCTTCATGTCTCTTCTTCATCAACATGTGTCCCCTCTTCTTCATGTCTCTTCTACATCAACATGTGTCCCCTCTTCTTCATGTCTCTTCTTCATCAACATGTGTCCCCTCTTCTTCATGTCTCTTCTACATCAACATGTGTCCCCTCTTCTTCATGTCTCTTCTACATCAAACATGTGTCCCCTCTTCTTCATGTCTCTTCTCATCAACATGTGTCCCCTCTTCTTCATGTCTCTTCTATATCAACATGTGTCCCCTCTTCTTCATGTCTCTTCTTCATCAACATGTGTCCCCTCTTCTTCATGTCTCTTCTACATCAACATGTGTCCCCTCTTCTTCATGTCTCTTCTACATCACCATGTGTCCCCTCTTCTTCAATGTCCTCTTCTACATCAACATGTGTGCCCCTCTTCTTCATGTCTCTTCTACATCAACATGTGTCCCCTCTTCTTCATGTCTCTTCTACATCAACATGTGTCCCCTCTTCTTCATGTCTCTTCTTCATCAACATGTGTCCCCTCTTCTTCATGTCTCTTCTACGTCCCCTCTTCTTCATGTCTCTTCTACATCAACATGTGTCCCCTCTTCTTCATGTCTCTTCTACATCAACATGTGTCCCCTCTTCTTCATGTCTCTTCTACATCAACATGTGTCCCCTCTTCTTCATGTCTCTTCTACATCAACATGTGTCCCCTCTTCTTCATGTCTCTTCTACATCAACATGTGTCCCCTCTTCTTCATGTCTCTTCTACATCAACATGTGTCCCCTCTTCTTCATGTCTCTTCTACATCAACATGTGTCCCCTCTTCTTCATGTCTCTTCTACATCAACATGTGTCCCCTCTTCTTCATGTCTCTTCTACATCAACATGTGTCCCCTCTTCTTCATGTCTCTTCTACATCAACATGTGTCCCCTCTTCTTCATGTCTCTTCTACATCAACATGTGTCCCCTCTTCTTCATGTCTCTTCTACATCAACATGTGTCCCCTCTTCTTCATGTCTCTTCTACAATCAACATGTGTCCCCTCTCTTCATTCTCTTCTCATCAACAGTGTCCTCTTCTTCATGTCCTCTTCTACATCAACATGTGTCCCCCTCTTCTTCAATGTCTCTTCTTCATCAACATGTGTCCCCTCTTCTTCATGTCTCTTCTTCAATCAACATGTGTCCTCCCTCTTCTTCATGTCTCTTCTTCATCAACATGTGTCCCCTCTTCTTCATGTCTCTTCTTCATCAACATGTGTCCCCTCTTCTTCATGTCTCTTCTCATCAACATGTGTCCCTCTCTTCAATGTCTCTTCTACATCAACAGGTGTCCCCTCTTCTTCATGTCTCTTCTACATCACCATGTGTCCCCTCTTCTTCATGTCTCTTCTACATCAACATGTGGTCCCCTCTTCTTCATGTCTCTTCTACATCAACATGTGTCCCCTCTTCTTCATGTCTCTTCTACATCAACATGTGTCCCCCTCTTCTTCATGTCTCTTCTTCATCAACATGTGTCCCCTCTTCTTCATGTCTCTTCTAAGGCGTCCCTCTTCTTCATGTCTCTTCTACATCAACATGTGTCCCCTCTTCTTCATGTCTCTTCTACATCAACATGTGTCCCCTCTTGTTCATGTCTCTTCTACATCAACATGTGTCCCCTCTTCTTCATGTCTCTTCTACATCAACATGTGTCCCCTCTTCTTCATGTCTCTTCTACATCAACATCGTGTCCCCTCTTCTTCATGTCTCTTCTAGTCAACATGTGTCCCCTCTTCTTCAATGTCTCTTCTACATCAACATGTGTCCCCTCTTCTTCATGTCTCTTCTATCATCAACATGTGTCCCCTCTTCTTCATGTCTCTTCTACATCAACATGTGTCCCCTCTTCTTCATGTCTCTTCTTCATCAACATGTGTCCCCTCTTCTTCATGTCTCTTCTACATCAACATGTGTCCCCTCTTCTTCATGTCTCTTCTACATCAACATGTGTCCCCTCTTCTTCATGTCTCTTCTACATCAACATGTGTCCCCTCTTCTTCATGTCTCTTCTTCATCAGCATGTGTCCCCTCTTCTTCATGTTCTTTCTACATCAACATGTGTCCCCTCTTCTTCATGTCTCTTCTTCATCAGCATGTGTCCCCTCTTCTTCATGTCCTTCTTCATCACATGTGTCCCCTCTTCTTCATGTCTCTTCTTCATCAACATGTGTCCCCCTCTTCTTCATGTCTCTTGCTTCATTCAACATGTGTCCCCTCTTCTTCCAATGGTCTCTTCGTCATCAACATGTGTCCCCCTCTTCTCATAGTCTCTTCTACATCAACCATGTGTCCCTCTTCTTCATCAACATGTGTCCTCCTCTTCTTCATGTCTCTTCTACATCCCATTTTATAAAAACCTGTCTGAAAATGAGCTGATCACAGATTTGGGCCACTGATGAGGTCATACGATGTGTGTCTTGTGTACCATTAGCCAATCAGCAACCAAGGTAACCCCCCCCCCCCCCCCCCCCCCCCCCCCCCCTTATCACCTGAATCTCCTCCTAGAGCACCATTGAGTTCTTTGTAACCAAATCTCTCTCATACCCCATTCACACCAACGGTGTTTCGGGGCCGGTTCGGTGCTGGTGCTTGAAAAGCACCGGGTTTTCCTGTTCACACCGCAGCGGAGCCGCCTCTAAGCTCCGGAATCCGGTTCGTTTCGAGCACCAAAAAGTTGTCCGTGTAGAAGCAAGAACCGCTTACGTCGGAGGGGGGCGAGATTAACCTGAGATAACAGTTAAGGCGAGTACGACAAATAAAAGTTGTAACAAGCAGTAGCGCTGAGCAAAGTGACTAGAACGCAACCACACACTTGTAAAAAAAAAAACACGCTTTATAAAGTCAGGCAACACTAACCAGGCTTCGTGTGATTCTGTTTATTTGTACCTTACTTTGACCATCCGTTCGCTGTTATTGATCATTGTGGAGAGCAGGCAGACGTTTTGTTTGTTATTATAGCAGCTATCGGATGGAATCAATACATGGGCTGCACAGGTTGTCATGTCCGACTATCACAAGTAGAATCATAATGAAAAATACGCCGGTAAAAAGTGCCTGTAGAAAACGGCTTAGCAAGTAGTCAGTTTAGCTTCGGTTGCTATGCTAACATCACCCATGTTATACCAGAGAAACTTTCATAACAGCGTTGTGATGCCAAACAGCGTCAATTCAGACTGACACACATTCACTTAAAGGGAACTGGGGATATGTATCAGCTGCTTGTGTGACAGTCAGACAGTGAATACTTTAGAGCCGTGTGAGCTAACCCGGAGCTAACGGGAGAATAAACTCCCGTGGAAGAGCAGCCAGCACTGCAGCGGTCGCTAAATGAAACACATTAATAAACAATGAACCACGGCACTCTGGAGAAAAGTATAAGGTTGGAGAAGTCGTTATTTAATTTAATCTGGCTTCGTATGATAAAAGCAAACGC